CACACACATATATGCCTTATGACGTGGTTGTTCCTTGACTATTGCTGTATTCAAAACCTCATCACATTAGTGAATTCCAGTTTGCTTTTATGTAGCCTTTATTAAGATTAAAAAATTTTGAAAACACTTTATTGTTATTGAATTGGACTCAACCCATAGCTGACCCTCCAGATGGTGTTTGGAAGTTGCACGGGAAGAGATTTCCCCTCTTTCTCTTGTGGAGCCACTGGTGTATTTGAGCCACCAGAGAGGCACCATCTTGCTAGCAGAACAACACCCCTTGGACTCTGCTACTATAGTTCTTTTTATTAAGTTTGGCCCATCTATAAATATATAAAACCATTATGTAAACATAGCTGTGAATTTTACCTTTAAAGTATAAATTTGTATTTCAACATTAAGAAAATTACTTAAAACAGTGATATTTAAAGAAAATTGTCAGCAGTCTATGGTTTAGAATTTATTTTTCTGCAGTGAATACCCCCTTTTTAAATTAAAAATAAAAGGCTTGGAAACAGAAAGGAGAAATAAATTTGATTGAGAATTCACTATGTTTTCACATCATATTGAAAACTTTTCACTTACTGTTAAAAAATAGTAAATGGTAGTCAGAATTTTATTTTGAAAGAACTATGTAACAAAAATGATGTGATTTATCTTTATTATTGATGAAAAGAAGAACATTTTAGTTACTAAATGAATACTTTACAAAGCTTAATATAGTATACCGTCACATGTGTAGAGGGAAAGTGTATATGTGCTGTTTTCAAAATAGAACCACTCTTGATCATCATACTCCTACAAAGTGAATCTGTTCTAAGTTTTCGTCAGTTACATAAGATAGGTGCTATTTAGGTTGCCACCTGCTGTACATAAATATTTGGGGTGAGTTTTACAATGTTACATGGTGTATGTGAAAGATTAGGCATTTTTAGGGAAATAGAAGACTTTCAAGGCTAAAGATTGAAGGTAAAAAGTCTGCTATCACACTGCCTCAAAGATAAGCTTACAAGGTCAGAGCTGAAGTAGAGTCTGACTCTTTGTTCTAGTAGTGGAACACTGACACACTGATGATCTACCTTTTTATAAAGCAAGAATAAAAGCAGTCTTGTCAGAGGGGGAAAGGCAGAAGTTACTAGGCAAGAGAGTCTGGATTTGAGGAGAGTAGAGTAACTATGTATAGAATTCTTAGGAAAATTTGTGCTACCTAGAACCTTCATGTCATAAGAGGAAACCTGCCCAATCTTATGATAAGCTGATCTGATATACAACTTCTCCTGTAGTAAGGGAAGCTCCAGTCCCAGTTATATTATTATCCAAGTAACCTAGTATAAGGTTCTGAAGTCCCTTTCAGATAGTTCACATTATACCATAGTGTGAGTGTGTGTTTATTAAATTGAGAAGTTGACTGGAGGATATTTATGAAAGAATCAACAGTAGTTATCCCTGGTAACATTTAGAGTATTTTTAAAATTTCAACCATTTTATACTTTATATTATTTTACTATCTTACCGCAAGCATAATTTAAAAACTAATTATTACTGTTGCATATATCAATTTTCAGCATTTTAAATGTGAGACAACCAAACTTAATGTTTTAAATATGTTACAGTATAAAGGAAAAACTCGTGTTATTCTCTGTTTTTATTATTACTCAATATTTCCGTTCATTTCTAAATTATGCCATTTACCAGGCAAATTACCTTTTGTAAGGTAATTTACATTTAAGCCTTTTCTGTAGATTTACCAGGAAGGCAGAGGAAATGAAAGTGATTACAGAAAACTGGAAGAAATGCATCAAAGATGTCTGGTTGCAGAGCGTTCCAAAGATGATCTTCAACTCACACTTAAGACAGCAGAAAATAAACTAAAACAACTTGAAATAATGTAAGGTTTTCTTTTAGATTTTCTGTGTTAACTTTTTTGAAATTCAAACTAGCCCTTCATCTTTACATTTACAGGACTTCTTCTTATTTTTCATTCATTAAGAAAATGGGAATAACTAAGTTTCCATACATTCCATTAAAGTTGTATGTTTCTGTCAATTATGAGTTCTTTACATCTTCAGTCAGATGTAAAGCATATATAATTTCCAACAGAAGTAATTTCATCCAGTGTGACTTCTCATATGTGCCTTAAGATAAAATTGATGAAATTACTTCTTTTAACAGGTTTACTTCTAGTGTCAAGGATGCTTGAAATGCTGTTTCCTTGGTCTCCTATAATGTATGTTGCTGTTGTGTGCCATCAGTCGGAACTAACTTATAGCAGACTCTCCAGCAGATTTTCAGAGGGTATAAATTGCACAGGAGCTTGCCTATCTTTTTTACACAGAGGATACGGTAGATTTGAAATGCATGCCTTTGGATCAGCAACACAACCCTTTACCCACCAGAGCTTGCTCCTATAATATATAGGTATCCTTATGTTCTCTATTTTTTTTTTCCCCAGATAGTTTGTTGAAGAACTTGGGTCATTTGTATTATAGTGTTTCACATACATAGATGGGTCATTTGTATTAGTGTTTCACATACATGTTGTTGTTGTTGTTGTTATGTGCCCTCTAGTCGCTTGCAACTCATAGCAACCCTGTGTACAACAGCCCTAAACCCTGCTCTATCCTCTGCCAATTGCACTGCCTCCGACACACCCATCCCAATTACACCAGTCACTGAATCAGTCCACCTCATAGAGGGTCTTCCCCTCTGCGCCGTCTCTCCACACTCCTAAGCATGATGTCTCTCTCCAAAGACTTCTCCCTCCTTACAACGTGGCCAGAGTATGTCAGAAGAAGCCCCAGAATCCTTGCCTCCAAGGAGCAGCCTGGTTTAACCCTCTCCAGGATGAATTTGTTTTCTTGGCAGTCCATGGTACATTCAATACTGTTCTCCAGCACCACAGCTCTCCTTCTATCCTCCCTAGTCATTGTCCAACTCTCTGATGCGTAACAAGTGATTGCAAAGACCATAGCCTGTATCAGACGCACCTTACTCTCCAGAGTGACACCATTGCTCTTCAGTACCCTGGAGTGGTCCCTAACAGCAGACTTTCGCATCACAATACGTTTTTTGATTTCCTGGCTACTCGTGCCAAGAGTGCTGACGTGGAGCCAAGCAGACTAAAGTTGTTAACAATCTCAGTCTCTTCACCATCCATCCTGATGCTGCCAATTGGTCCAGTGGTGAGAATCTTTGTCTTCTTGACATTGAGCTTCAATCCATCCTGAAGACTGCAGTCCTTGACCCTCTGCAGCAAGCACTTCAGGTCTTCCTCAGTTTCAGCAAGCAGGGTTGTGTCATCTGCATAACGCAGATTGTTACTGGATCTTCTACCAATCCCGACACCACACTTCTCATAGAGCCCAGCTTCTCAGATAATCAGTTCTGCATACAGGTTGAAAAGGTATGGAGATAGGACACATCCCTGGCATACGCCTTTCCCAATTTTGAACCATACAGTGTTTCCTTGCTCTGTTCTGCCTCTTGGTCCAACTATAGGTTTCACATTAAAACGATCAAGTGTTATGGGATTCCCATTCTTCTCAGAGTCAGCCACAGTTTGTTATGATCCACACAGTCAAACGCCTTGGCATAATCAATGAAACACAGATAGACATTCTTCTGGTATTCCCTGCTTTCAGCCAAGATCCATCTAACATCAGCTACAATATCCCTAGTACCACAACCCCTTCTAAACCCAGCCTGGACTTCTAGCAGTTCTCTGCTGATTTGCTGTTCCAGTCGTTTTTTAATAATCTTCAGTAGAATCTTGCTTGTGTGTGAAATCAATGATATTGTTTTGTAATTTCTGTTGGGTCACCCTTCTTTGGAATGGGAACAAATACAGATCTCTTCCAGTCAGTTGGCCAAGTGGTTGTTCTCCAGATTTCTTGGCACAACTTTGTGAGCACATCCAGGGCAGCATCTGTTAGCTGAAATATGTTAATTGGTATATCATCTATTCCTGGGGCCTTATTTTTTGCAATTTCCTTCAAAGTAGCTTGACCTTCTTCCTTCACATACATAAATGGGATATTGTTTAACTCGTTTCTCTGTTCCCTGTATCCTAAAAACGAGTAATTAATTTGAAACTTTACTATCTAGCTCTCTGATTTTAGGTAAATATTATTTATAGATAGAAAATTTAGACTTCTGTTATATGGGCCATTAGCTAGATTCCTCATTTCATGAAGAACTTTATTAGTATTTTCACAGTGAAGCAGCTTTACAGTATCAGAGTAAAGGATTTAATAAAGGAATTAAAGATGTGAAAAAAGCATGAAGGGGAAAGCGAGAGGATCCGAAATGCATTTGCTAACCATGGAATCATTAATATATGCCAGTCAAAGGTTGCAGGAAAGTACGGTAAGATCTGACTGTTACGCTGCTGGATGGAGTAGGATCGTAAAGGAATGACCCATGAGGGGCTAAAACTGCCATCACATGAAAGGTCTTTTCTTCTAAGACTTTATTCAGTGAGTAGTTTACTTTTAAGCCATCTTGATATTAGTAACATTTATGTATGCCCAGTTATAACTTTGAGAAGAAAATACGTTCTCACTGATATCTACTGACCAGAGAATATTTACAGAGATTAATTTATCTCAGATTAAAAAGGTAGAATTTTTTTTAAAAGAAGGGAATAAAGATGAGTATTAATTGAAGCAGCATACATTAGAATTTAGGATTGCCTCACCTAATAAGCAATTGAGAAGCTCTGGTGGCTTAGTGGTAAGAAATTATGCTACCAATCCAAAGGTATGTGGTTCAGCTTTACCAGTTGCTCTGTGGGAGGAAGATGGGCAGGCTTCTTCCTTTTGATTTACTGCCTCTGAAAACCCATTGGAGGGTCAGCTGTGAGTTGGTTCTGACTCTTTGGTATTCAACAACAATAACAACAATAAGTCATTGTTCATAAAGTTCAAGAAGTATAACCTATGCTAAGATAGTTAGAGGTTTGTAAAATTCATTTGTAAGGTGTATAGAAGGAAAATATGGTATAGAAACTACCATTATGATTTAATAATGTAGTCAGCTATTATGCTTGCCTATGGAACTTATCAATGATATAAAGGAGTTGGTATTACTCACTTGGTGGTCTTTGCCTTTTTGCTTTGGTTTGTTCTCTTGAAATCTTCCTTATATCTAATGATTCTCAATGTTAGTAAGATGTGAAAGTGTTGCAGTGATATTCTAGGTAAATGATAATAAGTACAATTATCTATTTTCATTTAAGATTGTTAGAGTATATTTGCATGGTATAAATATAATTTTGAATGTTTAAACTCTGCATGTAAATGGAAGAGAAATGGCTCATAAAAAAAGGCAAGCTCTATACTATAGAATGTTGACTTTCATTCTAGATTGTTAAGTTTAAGGGTTCTTTTTGGTTTGTTTTTTAATATTAGCTCTTCAGAAGAAATATCACGATGCCAAGAAATGATTCAGAAACTTCAAAATGTGCTGGAGTCTGAGAGAGAGAACTGTGGATTTGTCAGTGAACAAAGGCTCAAACTTCAGCAAGAAAATGAACAATTACACAAAGAGACTGAAGATTTAAGGAAGATTGCTTTAGAAGCTCAAAAGAAAGCCAAACTGAAGGTATTTTCAAGAACAGTTAAATTTACACTTTTGAAAATAGAGACTATTTAGAAAGAGCTGATGAACTATTTTTAAGATCTTCCCCCCTTATCTTTTAATCAAGTACAATAGTACTAAATCATAGTTCAGAGGATTAACCAGTTATTTCTGTTTTGTAAAACTTGGGAAATTTGATTAAAAATTAAGTTTCTGTATCCATAGAAAAGGGAGAAGGTCATCTTGTTCTGCAATGAAATACACTGATGTTTCTACCAAAGCTATTTAAGCAGCACTAGTAAAACTGTAGATTAGATAACTTTATAGACTGCTGACCTGTCTTTTCCTTCTATGAAACTGTCTCGTAATTTTAGCTTCTCTAAGACTAGCAGTATAGAAAATGTTACATCAATATGCTCTAAGAATCCTTCATAGATAGTCTGAGAATTGTGTACTCAGAAGACAGTGGACAGTAGGCTGATCTTAAAAATATCACTTCTTATTTTCTTTCCCTCTTCTTTATTTTTAATCTAATGCTTGCTTGCTTGCTTTACCAATATGAACATGATAACCTATTTAATGAATTCTCAAAAAGCACAGAAGTCACCATTAATATCTTGCTTACCTTTCTTCATTCCATGAGGTTTTTATAAAGTGTGGCACTAATGCTTTATTAGCTCTGAAAATACTGATATAAGGAGTTGTACTGCCAATCCCCAGGGACAAATCTACCAGCTGCTTCACAGGAGAAAGCGGGGCCGTTTTCTCCCCTGAAATTTCAGCCTCTGAAAACCCAATTGAGGGTCAGCAGTGAGTTGGTTCTCACTTAACGGCAGGCACTAATAACGATACTTTACTATAAAGCTCTCTAACTTCAGGTTTCATAGAAAGGATGCAAAGTGATAATTTTTAAAAAAAAATTATTTTATTAATTTTAATGAACATTTACAGAGATTTTGGATTTCCATTCATTCATTGTTGCACTTTTTTCTTTTCCCCCGCCCCGATCCTGCTCCCCCCCACCAAATGCACTCTACGCTGCAACCTTAATTCTGGATTCCTGTGATAATCATAATATGTATGCTATCATATATCACTTTTAAACTGTTCTCTCTCTCATCAGTTTCAATTCAGTATACATAATCTATCCAGTTTTTCTCAGTCTTACCCCAACCCTGCTGTCAGTCACTTTCTACAATAGTGGCACCATGCAGTATTTGTCCTTTTTTTTTGAATTTGTGCTTTTGTGACTGAGATATTTTACTCAGCATTCCTCGAGGGTCACCCATTTTGAATAATATTGTATGAGTTCCTTGTTTTTCAATGCAACATAGTATTCCTATTCCATTGTGTCAATATACCACAGCTTCTCTATCCATTCATTTGTTGATGGGCACTTAGGTTGTTTCCAACTCCTTGCTATTGTGAACAAAGCTGCAATGAACATGGGTGTGCATATATCTGCTTGGATGTCAGATATGTTCTCTTTGGGGTATATTCCCAGTAGTGGAATTGGTGGGCCAAATGATACTTCTATTTGCACCTTTTTGAGAAAGCACCACACCACTTTCCACAGGGGTTGCACCATTTTTCACTTCCACCAACAGTGGAAAAGGGTTCCAGTTTCTCCACAACCTCGCCAGCATTTGTTGCTTGCTGTTCTAAATTTTGCTTTTGTGACTGGGCTGAGATGATATCTCATAGTTGTTTTGATTTGCATAAAGTGATGTTTTACTTTGCCTTTTGTCACTAAGAAAACTCATAAGAAGATTTAAACCACTAATGAAGTCATGGCATTGTTGTATACTGTCAGTCAGAACCAACTTATAGCTAACCCTCAGGTGGATTTTCAAAAGCAGTTAATTGAGAGGAAATTGCCCATCCTGCTCCAACAGAGCAGCTGGTGGATTAAAACCACATGCCTTTGGGATGGCAATTTAGCTTCCTACCACTACGCAACCAGTGCTACTAATGAGGTCATAATTCAACTTAATTGATTTGAGCATATATCCCTTTAATGCCTTCTGTTGCAAATAGCAAACAAGAGGACCTTCTATGAAGTTTATTCACTGTGCCTTAGGCTATGGGAAGTCCTTGAAGAACAATGGAGAATTTCTACTACCAAATACAGAATTGCTATAAAAGACAATAAGATTATATATCAACATAAGAATAATCAACTTGATGAATGGAACCAAATAAAGTTCATCTAGAAACAAACCTTTTTATACATTATTGCATGATTTACAACAGACATCACAGATGTTCTAAGGAGCAAGAATTTTCTTTACAATAAATTGTACTAGATCTATGCAAAGACATTTGTTGTGTGGATTATAACAAACTGTGGCCAACAATGAGAAGAATGGGAATCTCAGAACACTTAATTGTGCTATAGGAAATCTATACTTAGACCAAGAAGCTGTTGTACAGCAAACGGAGCACGGGAACACTGTGTGGCTTAAAATAAAGAAAGGTGCATCAGGGCTATATCCTTTCTACTTACCTGTTCAATCTGTATACCGAGTAGCAAATCATTTGTGAACCTGGATTTTATAAAGGAGAATGTGATATCAGGATAGGAGTTAGACTCATCAGCAATCTGTGTGATGGTGATGAAACAACTTTGCCTGCTGAAAGAAAGGAGGACTCGAGGCACTTGCTGCAGATCAAAGACTACAGTCTTCATTATGGATTGCATCTCAGCATCAAGAAAACAAAATTCCTCACCACTGGATTGATAGGCAACATGATGCTAGATGGAGAAAAGATTGAAATTGTCAACTATTTCATTTTACTCAGATCCACTAACAACATCCTTGGTACCAGCAGTCAGAAGATTGGGAAAGTTTGCTGTCAGGGACCTCTCCAAAGTCCTAATAAGTAATGATGTCAGTTTAAAGACTAAGGTGTAGCAAGAAGATGCACTGCAATCCTGAACGCATATGGTTCGAATCCACCAGATGCTCCACTGGAGAAGGAAGGGAAATCTCCTCTTGTGCCAGTCAGATCTGATTCGACAGTACACAAGAAGGGGAGGGGGAAAACCCCAACAAACAAAAAAACAACAAAATAAAGACTAAGGTGCACCTGATCCAAGCCAGTTTTCCATGGGCTGGACAGTGAATAAGTATGACAGAGAGGACAGCACATTGACTTTCTTGTTTTCAATAAAATGTCCAAAATATTTTTATTGATTGCCAAAATAGCAAATAGTTATATTTTGGAGAGAGAGTATAACCAGAGTGCTCCTTAAAGACAAGAATGGTGGAGCTCTGGTGGCCTAGTGGCAAGAAGCTGCACTTCAATCCCAGAGGTAGTTTGAATCCACCAGACGCTCTTCTGGAGAAGGAGGGACAATCTCCTCCTGTACTAGTCAGATCTGATTTGATAGTACACACACACAAAATAATTTTTTTTAAAAAAAAAAAGACAATAAAGGTAAAACTTTTTAATCTCACATATTTTGGGCATATTGTTAGGAAAGGTGATTCCTTGGAGAGGGGCACCATGCTTGGAAAGGTGGAAGGTCAGAGAGAAAGAGGAAGACCCTCAACATGGTAGATTGATACAGCGACACTGACAGTGGGCTCAAGTGTGTGAGGATGATAAAGTTTGCGCAGGATAGGACAGGGTTCAGATTTGTTGTTCGTAGGGCCACTATGAGTACATTACTTAATGGTGCTTAACAACTACAACAGACCAATTAAATCCTTAGTTTAAAATTGGATCTTAACCCTTACCTTTATCCTATGTGCAAATTTTATCTTTCTCATGTACCTAAATGTGAAATTTAAAATAATGGTTTTCTTAGTAGAAAATATTCATGCCCTTGCTGGGGGAGAGGGGTGAGCCCTATAAAATACAATACAAAACTTCGCAAACTAAATTCAAAAGAACACTGGTCATAAAGAAAATATTGATGAATTGTGTTTGATTAAAATTAACTTATTTATCATCAAAAGAAGACATTAGAGAGAAAAATGGGGAAAAAATACTTATATCCAGAATATAAAAATATCCAGAATATAAAAAAATTCAAGCAAGATTTCACTAATAATAATTAGTAACTGGATTGCAAAAAATGGAAGACTAAGAACTGGTAGTTGGAAATACAAACTTAGTGATATAAATGTGTCTGGAGTCAAATGATCAAATTTTATATAGTTAGTTATTTAGTGCAAATACCTTTTGAATAAAAATAAATGGGAACTGTACACATGAACCTCACATGATGGACTATGCAGGAATCAGACTGACTACGTCTGTAGGAAGAATCAGTGACAAAGCTCATTATCAGCAGTCAGAACAAGGCGAGGACTATGAAACAGATACTCTCTCCTGTGAAGTTCAAATTGAAGCAGAAGGAAAGGAAAACAAGTCCATGAGACCCATCCCACCTTAATTAAAAAAATCATGTAAAAATTAGATTTGAAAGCAAAAAAAAAAGTAATAGGTTTGCTGCATCATTGAACATTAATGACCAAAGATTAGATGGGTTGTGGGATGACATTAAGTATATCATCCATGAAGAAAATCAAAGGCTGTTACAAAAACAAAGGTAAAAGGAAACACCAAAATGGATGTCAAAAGAGACTCTGAAATTTTCACTAGTACATAGAGAGGCCAAAACAAAGGAGAAAATACTGAAGGAAGAGAGATGAACAGAAGATTTCTAAGGGCAGCTTGAGATGACAAAGAATTATAAATGAAATATGTAAAGGCTTTTGACTGTGTGGATCATAAAAAGTCTTTGACTGTGTGGATCATAATAAGTTGTGGTTGACATTGAGAAGAATAGGAATCCCAGAGCACCTATACCTGGACAAGGAGGCTGTTGTGTGACTGGAGCAGGGGAACACTGCATGGTTTAACCTTGAGAAGAGAGTGTTCTCTATGCCTATTCTGTATACTGAGAAAATTATCCAAGGAACTGGAATCTATGAAGAGAAGTGTTGAATCAGGACTAGAGGGAGACTCATCAATAACCTTCATTATGCAGATGACACAGCCTTGCTTGCTGA